ATGGAGTCCCAGTAAGTGCTGTTGAGAGTCCTAATGAAGCAGCCAGGGTCCCTGTTGTCCCTGAATGTGTACTAGAAGTGAAAACAGTAAATGGTGTCCCAGAGGTTGCTGTTGGGAGATTTGTTGTGGCATGCAGTGGCCCTGAGGTTCCTGGTGGTACAGTAGAACTATTTTCAAGCGATGGTGTCACAGAGGTTGGATTTGGGAGTCTGGATGAAGCACCCAGTGTCCCTGTTACTCCTGAATGTGGCATAGAAGTGGATTCAGGAGATGATGTCCAAGAGGTTGCTGTTGGGAGACTTGATGAGGCATGTAGTAGCTCGGAGGTTCCTGTTGGTACACTGGAACTATTTTCAAGAGATGGTGTCAAAGAGATTGCTGTTGGGGTGCCAGATGAAGCAGCCATTGCCCTTGAGGCTGCAAGAGATGCACTAGAAGTGGTTTCAGGAAATGGTGTACCAGAGGTTGCTGTTGGGAGGTTTGTTGAGGCATGCAGTGGCCCTGTGGTTCCCGATGGTACACTGGAACTATTTTCAAGAGATGGTGTCCCAGTAGTTGTCTTTGAGGAACCGGATGAAGCAGCCATTGTCCTTGAGGCTGCGAGAGATGCACTTGAAGTGGATTCAGGAAATGGTGTCCATGATGTAGCTGTTGGGAGATTTGTTGTGGCATTCAGTGGCCCTGAGGTTCCTGGTGGTACAGTTGAACTATTTTCAAGAGATGGTGTCACAGAGGTTGGTTTTGGGGTACCAGATGAAGCAGCCATTGCCCTAGAGGCTGCAAGAGATGCACTAGAAGTGGTTTCAGGAAATGGTGTCCCAGAGGTTGCTGTTGGGAGATTTGTTGAGGCATGCGGTGGCCCTGAAGTTCCTGGTGGTACACTGGAACTATTTTCAAGAGATGGTGTCAAAGAGATTGCTGTTGGGGTACCAGATGAAGCAGCCATTGCCCTAGAGGCTGCAAGAGATGCACTAGAAGTGGTTTCAGGAAATGGTGTCCCAGAGGTTGCTGTTGGGAGATTTGTTGAGGCATGCGGTGGCCCTGAGGTTCTTGGTGGTACACTGGAACTATTTTCAAGAGATGGTGTCCCAGTAGTTGTCTTTGAGGAACCGAATGAAGTAGCCATTGTCCTTGAGGCTGCGAGAGATGCACTTGAAGTGGATTCAGGAAATGGTGTCCAAGATGTAGCTGTTGGGAGATTTGTTGTGGCATGCAGTGGCCCTGTGGTTCCTGGTGGTACAGTTGAACTATTTTCAAGAGATGGTGTCACAGAGGTTGGTTTTGGGAGTTTGGATGAAGCATCCAGTGTCCCTGTTACT